CAACCAAGCCCTCGATTTAATGGACTAATAGAGGTGGGGATATTTTCTGTTTGGAGTCATCTAAAACATCATATCTGCATGCCTCTGACATGACAGTGATAGTATGAATGATGGTGAAAGTGTTTCTTTTATGGGTCACCCTGCCTCTGTGGGGGAGGGCCAGTGTGTTAAATAGCAATAATAATTCTCCATGGGAAAGTGAAACAGAATTCTTCCTCCATAAGCCATGTGTGTTGTAAGAGGTGACTGAAATGGCAGGAGCAAGGGGCTGGTAACCCCTTCTCCTGTTAAAATTATTAAATTTAAGAATTTTCAACACACTTTTATTTTTCCTTTTAAGTCACCCTATCTCCGTGGGAGATGACCAGTTTGTTGAAAAAAAATAATAATAATAAGTTGATTGCTAAACCTAAAAGGGGTCACACAGCACTGCTGTGATAGAGATGAGATTGTTTCACTGTTGAAGTAATGATTATAAACAATTCTATAATTAGCACACTTTATCCACAGTTTCTGAATCAAATGACTCTGTGGTGAAGACCTGGTGTATAATACAATACCAACTAGTTGTGGCTGACTCGGGAAATCATAATTACACGAGTGCAAACAAATCACAGAACCGGCAAATTTTTTTTAAGTGTTACTAGTTTTCCCAAGATGCACTGCATGTTTGTGCTTTATTTTGTACCTAACAATATTTTATTACATGTACACTACATTTTGTTTGTTGTTTCAGTCACAATACAGGAAGTCCTTAACTTACAAACATGTCGGGGACCTCCTGAATTATGTATAATATAATAATGATATTATACGCAATAATGCTATAATGATATGCACAATACAGAAGGTTCTTAACGTGTTCGTAAGTCAAGGACTAACTGTATTGTGCCTTTTTATTCTTCATTGCAATTCAAATGAGAGTTAAACAAATCAAATTTTTGAAATGCCATTATTACTGTGGCCCTGTAGACTGTGTCCCACGTTTCTGAAGTCCATTAAATTAAGGTGGATGAAACATTACAGCAGTGATGAACAGTTTCTGCGGCAACAGTGTTCTTCTCTGCACCCGTTGACTTGTACCATCACGGTCCTTATTAATCTATGCTTTAAGGGTTAGTTTTCAGTTCCTTCAACACTGCAAACAAGATGTGTTGTATGTTGCATAGAGATGAATACAAAGCTTGGAAAAGATCAGAGTACAAAGCTTGGAAAAGATCAGAGTACAAAGCTTGGAAAAGATCAGAGTACAAGGGGAAAAAGATAGAGTAGAAAGCTTAAGAAAACAGAGACAAACACAAAGTGAGAAATAAGCATGAAGTACAGTGTATCTAAGAGAACAAAGAAGAGTAAAAAGAGTACATAAAGGAAGAGATAAGTACAGTACATGGCAATAGAAGACTACTAGAAACTAGGAAAAAAAAGGAGACAAGCAAAGTGTACAGGAGCCAGGAAAGTGTACAGGAGCCAGAAAAGTGTATAGAAACCAGACAAGTGTACAGTAACCAGGAAAGTGTACAGGAACCAGGAAAATGTACAGAGCCAGGAAAGTGTACAGGAGCCAGGCAAGTGTACAAGAGCCAGGAAAGTGTACAGGAGCCAGGACAGTGTACAGGAGCCAGGCAAGTGTACAAGAGCCAGGAAAGTGTACAGGAGCCAGGAAAGTGTACAGGAGCCAGGCAAGTGTACAAGAGCCAGGAAAGTGTACAGGAGCCAGGAAAGTGTACAGGAGCCAGGAAAGTGTACAGAAGCCAGGAAAGTGTACAGGACCCAGGAAAGTGTACGGGAGCCAGGCAATTTACAAGACCCCGAAATGTACAAAGCCAGGAAATAAAGGCCAGAAGGTACAGAACCAGGACATATACAGAAGCCAAAAAAAAGTGTAAAAAAGCCAGAAAAGTGTACAGGACCAAAAAAGTGTACAGACCAGAAAAGTTACAGAGCCAGAAAAGTGAAAGGGGAGCCAAAAAATGTACAGGAGCCAAAAATGTAAGAACCAAAAAGTGTACGGAGCCAGAAAAGGTACGGGACCAGAAAAGTGTACAAGCCAGAAAATGTACGGGAGCCAGAAAAGTTAAGGAGCCAGAAAAGTGACAGGAGTCGAAAAATCTACAAGAGAAGAAAAGTGTCGGGAAAACAATGAAAGGAATATAATAACAAGTGCAATGGCAAGAAACATTTTGCACGCCAAAGGTTCAACACCTGTGCAAGGGGGGCAGCAGGGGTTGGCCCCCCGGGCGCAGCGGGGCCGGTCTCCTGGCGCTGGGCAGGCGGGAGGGGACACTGTTATGTACACGGGTGTAGCCCGGAGCGAGCAGCCGCACGATAGCAGATCCTTGCCCCCACCGGCCCCGACCGGGGTGTCCCCGCGGCCATCGCTACACCCATCACACCTGCCATACACGGGACATGTAGAAATGCTGGGGCCCGTCAGGACAAGGCCGCAGGGGCATTGACCCCGGAAAACACCCTTCTAGTATACCCCGGTATAAACAACTTTTTATCCATCATAAACCCCTTGATTCAGTATACAGTAACCCATAACTTTCAAAGAAATTTGTACCTTGTTCTCAAACCCACAAAGAAAAATTTGTAACTTGTTCCAACCTACAAAATAATTATTACTTTTCTCTCAAACCCACAAAGAAATTTTTACATTGCTCTCAACTTTCAAAGAAATTTCTAACTTTCTTAAATTCAAAGAAATTATGTACCCTTTTTCTCAATATAAAGAAATTTTGTACATACCTATCCCAAGTTACAAATTAGTAATTCATTTTCATTTACAAATTAGTACCTCACTGTCAACTTACAGCACAATAACAAAAGGAAGGCTGCACGTGCACATGTAAGCATTTTAAAAACCCAAAAAGTATTTTAAAAACCCAATTTCAAACCCTTTGTAATTAGGATGAAATGAATATTTTTTTTTTTTCAACAAGTCGGCTGTCTCCCACCGAGGCAGGGTGACCTAAAAAAGAAAGAAAATCCCCAAAAAGAAAATACTTTCATCATCATTCAACACTTTCATCACACTCACACATAATCACTGTTTTTGCAGAGGTGCTCAGGATACAACAGTTTAGAAGCATATACGTATAAAGATACACAACATATCCCACCAAACTGCTAATATCCCAAACCCCTCCTTTAAAGTGCAGGCATTGTGCTTCCCATTTCCAGGACTCAAGTCCGACTATATGAAAATAATCGGTTTCCCTGAATCCCTTCACTAAATATTACCCTGCTCACACTCCAACAGATCGTCAGGTGCCAAGTATCATTCGTCTCCATTCACTCCTATCTAACACACTCATGCACGCTTGCTGGAAGTCCAAGGCCCTCGCCCACAAAACCTCCTTTACCCCCTCTTTCCAACCCTTTCAAGGACGACCCCTACCCCTCCTTCCTTCCCCTATAGATTTATATGCTTTCCATGTCATTCTACTTTGATCCATTCTCTCTAAATGATCAAACCACCTCAACAACCCCTCTTCTGCCCTCTGGCTAATGCTTTTATTAACTCCACACCTTCTCCTAATTTCCACACTCCGAATTTTCTGCATAATATTTACACCACACATTGCCCTTAGACAGGACATCTCCACTGCCTCCAACCATCTCCTCGCTGCTGCATTTACCACCCAAGCTTCACATCCATATAAAAGTGTTGGTACTACTATACTTCATACATTCCCTTCTTGCCTCATAGATAACGTTTTTTGACTCCACATATACCTCAACGCACCACTCACCTTTTTTCCCTCAACAATTCTATGATTAACCTCATCCTTCATAAATCCATCCCCCGACACTTCAACTCCCAAGTACAGGGGACCCCCGCTTAACGAACACCCCCAAAATGCGACCAATTATGTAAGTGTATTTATGAAAAGTGCGTTGTACATGTATGTTTGGGGGTCTGAAATGGACTAATCACTCACAATATTCCTTATGGGAAAAAATTCGGTCAGTATGGCACCTGAACATACTACTAAAATGAAAAAAGTTCGTTAAGGGGGGGGTCCACTGTATCTGAAAACATTCACTCTTCCATACTCCTCCTCCCCAATTTGATATCCAATTTTTTTATCTAAATCATTTGATGCCCTCATCACCTTACCTTTTCTATGTTCACTTTCAACTTTCTACCTTTACACACATTCTCAAACTCATCCACTAACCTTTGTAATTTTTCTTTAGAATCTCCCATAAGCACAGTATCATCAGCAAAAAGTAACTGTGTCAATTCCCATTTTGAATTTGATTCCCCATAATTTAATCCCACCCCTCTCCCGAACACCCTAGCATTTACTTCTTTTACAACCCCATCTATAAATATATTAAACAACCATGGTGACATTACACATCCCTGTCTAAGACCTACTTTTACCGGGAAGTATTCTCCCTCTCTTCTTTCTACTTTCATTGAGTAAATAAGCAAATAATTACTGCTACTAAATACATACCAGTATTGAAAAGTAGATAGATAAATACAAGTCTATCTTATCAATAAATGTACAGCAGGATCCCCGTATCTGCATGTCCAATATCCTTGGTTTACCTTGGCCCAAAAATATCCCTTAATTTTGCTTAATAATGGACTCAAAGTACAAAAATAGTGATGATGGAAGTTCTAAAAAGTCTAAGAGAAGGTGTGAAGTGCTTCCCATCAGTGAAAAAGTGATAATTATCCAATTATTGTGCATAATTTATCAGTGAAACTTTATAACAGGTTTGTATAGAACTTGTATATAGAGTTTGCTACTATCCACAGTTTTAGTATCCATAGCAGGTCCTTGTAACATATTCCCCATGGATACAGAGGTCTTACTGTACAGTATGATGGTGATATTATCGTAAGTCGAACCATCATAAAGTAATGAGCATCTGTAATCAACCTACAAATTTTTTGGTGTTTATTTTCTGATCTGTGAATATGGCAGAATCTTCTGCACATGAACATAGCCAAGTGGCTATGACACCAGGCAGGTACTCACGCGTGGTATTGCAGGGAGGCTCCGTCTGAGATGTTACGTACACATCACCACTTGCACCCATGCCGTCCTCGACCACGAAGTCCTCGTCGTGTGAAGCTGTGAAGACGGCAAGCTTGGGGCTCTGGCAGCGACAAGTGCGACAGCCACGGTGGTCCTGCACCAGCCCCCCAGGACACTGCAAGTGGCACTGCCGGATGCTTGGACACTTGTGGCACTTGCACGTACGGCATCCCCGCACCTCATCCACCTGTGCACACAGTAGTTAATTAAGAAAACTTTCATAATCATAATCTATATTTCTACAAGTACATGATACAACTTATATAGACCATAACTGATATCAATGACATATGTACTATACATAAAGTCCCTGGTTATGCAGAGCATTTCCCACAATTTAGGTTAATTTTATCCCCAGGATGCCACCCACACCAGTCGACTAACACCCAGGTACCTACGTACTGCTAGGTGAACAGGGACAGCAGGTGTCTTAAGAAAACACACCCCAATGTTTCCTTCTGTACTGGGGATTGAACCATGGGATGCTAGACACTTGGAGTAAGCCATAGGCTAAGGAAGACATCGCCGCTAAGGAAATCTTTCGACTGAGAAAATTTTGCAGTTTGAGTAAACTCACACCTTTGCCACTGATATACCTTTGATGAGTTGCAAGAGTTTCTCTACTGGAGCCCAGCCATGGGCCAGGCTCCTCTGGTGCTTGCCTGGTCAACCAGGCTGCTACTGCTGCTGGTGGCTCACTGCCCCACATATCCATCACAGTCTGGTTGGTCTGGTTTAGTGGGAAAAGGAAAATATACAGGTACCATCCAACTTACGACCGAGCTCGGTTCCGACCAACCGGTCGTAAGTTGAAATGGACATAAGTCGAACTTTACTACTGAATATCAACATCACATTTTTGTAATGATTTTATTTTATTGTTGTATTTTGGTATTTCATTTTTTATACTTTACTTTTTATGCTGTTAGTACTGTATTTTATACTGTAAGGTTTAGGATAAACACTGTGTACAACACAAACAGTTGTTTATTTCCCAGAAATTTGGTATACAAAACACGGTCATAAGTCGAATGATTGTATGTCAAGCAGGTAGTAAGTTGGATGGTAGGTGTATTATTATTGTTATTGTTATTATTATTATTATTATTATTATTATTATTATTATTATCATATCTGCTAGGAAGCAGCGAATCACTGGCAGTCAAACATTCACTGCCTTATGGGCATAATCCAGTTTGACCTAAGGAAACAGAGGGCAGCTCTATTTCCTTGGATGAAGAGTTTTCACCAGTATGAAGACACCATCCTTAAACATCTGATTACAGGAAGAATTAAGGGTAAGGGAAACCAGATGATTTAGCTAAGCATCTTCTCTCCGCTGTCCATCTTTTTTTGCGCCATCTCGCTATTTTCATAGAGAAATTTAAATACCAAGTGGATATGTAAATGGTGACGGAGCAGTGTCAATGGGAAACTGTCCACGGGGCAACACAAAAGAACGTAACTAGTGAAAAAATGCTAGAGGTCGTTTCCAGGTCTTCAAACACCTGCCCTACATGCATGATGTAATTTCTGCACACTTGCTTCAAATAGCTACAAGCGGAGATGGTTTAAGATTTTGTAGTCCCCTGGGCTACAGGTACTGTGAGGCCTGGGCTACAGGTACTGTGAGGCCTGGGCTACAGGTACTGTCAGGTTTTGGCAAAGATGTTGGAAACATGTTTGGCAATGGAGTTGTTGGGGAGGACTATGTATCTCTTCTCGGCAGTGTCTTCTCTGGGTGTGTTGAAGATGTTTAATGCCCGCCGTCTGCAGTCTCTGATGAAGTGACGAGGATAGTGGAGTTTAGATAGTGGAGTAATTGAACAAGTATTTTCTAAACTCCACTATCCTCGTCACTTCATCAGAGACTGCAGACGGCGGGCATTAAACATCTTCAACACACCCAGAGAAGACACTGCCGAGAAGAGATACATAGTCCTCCCCAACAACTCCATTGCCAAACATGTTTCCAACATCTTTGCCAAAACATCATTCCAAGTATCTACCTCCACAACCACGACCATCAAGGACATCACCAGTAGTAGACAGGACAAGCCTCCATCCTCTGCAGGGGTATAAATAATCCCTTGTAATGACTGCAACAAATTATATGTGGGCGAAACATCAAGAGACCTCCAAACACGCATTTCAGAACACCAATATGCAAGCAGGACTGACGATACAAGGAATGCCTGTGTACAACATCGCAATTCACACAACCATTTAATTAACTACAGAAACTCAAGACTTATAGCCAACGAAGACAACACTCAATACAGAAGAATCCTGGAATCATCGCTTATCTCTATAACCAACAATTTTCAAACCAGAACAATGGCTTCTATAACATAGCTGAACCACTCGCCAAGAAATTTCTTCATCGCTATCCCACATAAGAACATAGAACACTGCAGAAGGTCTACAACTTGTCCAATACCCCTGCCAAGCTACCCAAGACTCTATAACCCCACCCGGTAGATCATCAGATGCAGCATTCTCCACCTGACCTTAACATTCTGAACATGACTATAAATACTCTCGTACCTTCCAACCCCAGATAGATCCGTGTGTGACTTGAAAAAGCCCACTGTGTGGGTGAAACGTTGTCAATAAAGGAACACATTATACTGCATTTGTGTTTATATTTCTATTGTCATGTCCCTGGGCTACAGGTACTGTCAGGCCCCTGGGCTACAGGTACTGTCAGGTTTCTGGGCTACAGGTACTGTCAGGTCCCTGGGCTACAGGTACTGTCAGATCCATGGGCTACAGGTACTGTCAGGTCCCTGGGCTACAGGTACTGTCAGGTCCCTGGGCTACAGGTACTGTCAGGTCCCTGGGCTACAGGTACTGTCAGGTCCCTGGGCTACAGGAACTGTCAGGCCCCTGGGCTACAGGTACTGTCAGGTCCCTGGGCTACAGGTACTGTCAGGTCCCTGGTCTACAGGTACTGTCAGGTCTCTGGGCTACAGGTACTGTCAGGCCCCTGGGCTACAGGTATTGTCAGGTCCCTGGGCTACAGGTAGTCAGGTCCCTGGGCTACAGGTACTGTCAGGTCCTTCGGCTACAGGTACTGTCAGGTCCCTCGGCTACAGGTACTGTGAGGCTCCTGGGCTACAGATACTGTCAGGTCCCAGGGCTACAGGTACTGTGAGGCCCCTGGGCTACAGGTACTGTCAGGTCCCTGGGCTACAGGTACTGTCAGGTCCCTGGGCTACAGGTACTGTCAGGTCCCTGGGCTACAGGTACTGTCATGTCCCTGGGCTACAGGTACTGTCATGTCCCTGGGCTACAGGTACTGTCAGGTCCCCGGGCTACAGGTACTGTGAGGCTCCTGGGCTACAGTTACTGTCAGGTCCCAGGGCTACAGGTACTGTGAGGCCCCTGGGCTACAGGTACTGTCAGGTCCCTGGGCTACAGGTACTGTGAGGCCCCTGGGCTACAGGTACTGTCAGATCCATGGGCTACAGGTACTGTCAGGTCCCTGGGCTACAGGTATTGTCAGGTCCCTGGGCTACAGGTACTGTCAGGTCCCTTGGCTACAGGTACTGTCAGGTCCCTGGGCTACAGGAACTGTCAGGCCCCTGGGCTACAGGTACTGTCAGGTCCCTGGGCTACAGGTACTGTCAGGTCCCTGGGCTACAGGTACTGTCAGGTCTCTGGGCTACAGGTACTGTCAGGGCCCTGGGCTACAGGTAGTCAGGTCCCTGGGCTACAGGTACTGTCAGGTCCCTGGGCTACAGGTAGTCAGGTCCCTGGGCTACAGGTACTGTCAGGTCCCTCGGCTACAGGTACTGTGAGGCTCCTGGGCTACAGATACTGTCAGGTCCCAGGGCTACAGGTACTGTGAGACCCCTGGACTACAGGTACTGTCAGGTCCCTGGGCTACAGGTACTGTCAGGTCCCTGGGCTACAGGTACTGTCAGGTCCCTGGGCTACAGGTACTGTCAGGTCCCTGGGCTACAGGTACTGTCAGGCCCCTGGGCTACAGGTACTGTCAGGTCTCCAGACTACACATACTGTCAGGTCCCTGGGCTACAGGTAGTCAGGTCCCTGGGCTGCAGGTACTGTCAGGTTCCTGGGCTACAGGTACTGTCAGGTCCCTGGGCTACAGGTACTGTCAGGTCCCTGGGCACAGGTACTGTCAGGTCCCTGGGCTACAGGTACTGTCAGGTCCCTGGGCTACAGGTACTGTCCAGGTCCCTGGGCTACAGGTACTGTCAGGTCCCTGGGCTACAGGTACTGTCAGGTCCCTGGGCTACAGGTACTGTCAGGTCCCTGGGCTACAGGTACTGTCAGGTCCCTAGGCTACAGGTACTGTCAGGTCCCTGGGCTACAGGTAGTCAGGTCCATGGGCTACAGGTACTGTCAGGTACCATCAGGTCCCTGGGCTACAGGTACTGTCAGGTCCCTGGGCTACAGGTACTGTCAGGTCCCTGGGCTACAGGTACTGTCAGGTCCCTGGGCTACAGGTACTGTCAGGTCCCTGGGCTACAGGTACTGTCAGGTCCCTGGGCGCAGGTACTGTCAGTCCCTGGGCTACCGGTACTGTCAGGTCCCTGGGCTACAGGTACTGTCAGGTCCCTGGGCTACAGGTAGTCAGGTCCATGGGCTACAGGTACTGTCAGGTACCATCAGGTCCCTGGGCTACAGGTACTGTCAGGTCCCTGGGCTACAGGTACTGTCAGGTCCCTGGGCTACAGGTACTGTCAGGTCCCTGGGCTACAGGTACTGTCAGGTCCCTGGGCTACAGGTAGTCAGGTCCCTGGGCTACAGGTACCATCAGGTCCCTGGGCTACAGGTACTGTCAGGTCCCTGAGCTACAGGTACCATCATGTCCCTGGACTACAGGTACTGTCAGGTCCCTGGGCTACAGGTACTGTCAGGTCCATGGGCTACAGGTACTGTCAGGTACCATCAGGTCCCTGGGCTACAGGTACTGTCAGGTACCATCAGGTCCCTGGGCTACAGGTACTGTCAGGTCTCTGGGCTACAGATACTGTCAGGTCCCTGGGCTACAGGTAGTCAGGTCACTGGGCTACAGGTAGTCAGGTCCCTGGGCTACAGGTACCATCAGATCCCTGGGCTACAGGTACTATCAGGTCCCTGGGCTACAGGTACCATCATGTCCCTGGGCTACAGGTACTGTCAGGTCCCTGGGCTACAGGTACTGTCAGGTCCCTG